GGAGGCTCGGGGCAGCCCCGCAGATCTCTGTGCTGTGCAGCCCAGCACCCCTGTGCTCTCCCCAAACCAACGTGTCCGGGCTACATTGGGGCTCCCCAATGACGGGGCCAGCCCCACTTACAGCCTCCTGACAAACTGCACTCAAGCCCAGCTGACATTTCTTTCCTTTTAACACTTTTTAAATCTAGGACAGCCACATCACCTTGGAGCTCCTTCACCCTCTGTCTGCTGGTATCTCTGGCCAGGCACCACATCACTGCTATACAATTAATTCTTAATGATTTTTAATCAGGTGTAGACCTTTAGTTTTACAAGTAGCTTCCTATTCCTTTTCTCACTGCCTGGTTTAACCAGTAAATAATGTGCAGTTTTGTTACTTGTTTCCTTATTTCTCAGGGGCCAGGAGCCAGTCATATCAGGTGCTGCACAAACCCACTGATTTGCAGCCAACTCAGCCTTTATGCTATGCTTGATATTTCTTTCGTTGCCTTCCTTTATCTCTTATCGCAGATGCCAGATTTGCTTTGCTTACAGCCTCAGACCAGGGGAAATCCAACAGCAAGTTCCAGCCTGGATCTGCCCCCTGTCCCAGCCCTGCAGTAACATTTGGGGAGTTTGTTGATGTTGCTCTTGGGCTGCTCTCTCAAGAGTGGCTCCCTCCTGCAAAAGAGCACCCACCAAGCCCACCAGAGCTGGACTGGGTGCCCTGGACCCTCCATAAAACACTGCTGGCTTGCTCTGCCTCACCCCATCAGCCCTGAGATGCTCCAACACACCATTCCTGCCATCACGGTTATTCCTATGCACAACTACTGAAACTCTTGTGTCAGTTCACACAGATTTAATCACTCTGAACATTTACCTTTTTTGCATGACAGTACTGTGGCTGTTTTCTGTTTACCAGAAGAGCACTGTAACAGATTTGTATCAGCTGGAAAGAATCCAAAGATCTATTAACAATGTTCAGGGCCAATATTTTGAAATCCAGTCAGTTTATAAAAACATATTTTTCATTTATAGCTCTTGACTTCATAAATAAATGAACCATTAAGTGATGCGATGAGCTGTACCTTGTCTCCACAAGGGACACAAGCTTTTCCAAGTATTGTTACCCAAATATGAATAGCCACTTAACTCAGTGCTCCATCCTGCCACATTGCTGCTCACATCAAAGTATGACACATCCAACCTGCAAAAGTGTTCTTAAACCCCTGCTGTACACCTGTCTGCTGTTTCTGAACCTGCCTGCCTTCCCAAACATCACCAACAAACCTCCAAAGGAGCAGGTACCTTCCTTTGATAGAGTCAAGTCACAGTTTGGAAAGAAAACTGCCTTTCAACTTTTCTATCCTGCCTTTTCAACTTCTAGTCAAATAGGCTGAAGAAAGAGCAAAATATTCTCACTACATCTGTTGTTTATGCTGAGCACAGTACAATTTGGGCAAAACTTTGCTGGCCTGTGTCATTGCTAAGACAGTGTAAACACAAGTACTTGCTCCTTTGGTAATGGCTGGAAATACTGGATCCTGACTGAGGTACAGGATTTCAGACACATTCATAAGGCTAAGACCCAAAAATAAAGCATGTGTTCCCTGCATCCTTTCTACCATAATAAGAACACTTTCTATCTCAAAAAAATTACTGAAAAACTTATTTGTTTGATTTTTCTAACCTATTTTAGTATAGAAGTGCAGCTCCAAGGCTCAGCACAGATTACAAAAAATCTCATTTGGTTCTAAACCAAGGAAATATGTTATTTGATTTAAACAAAGTCATTAAATTTTAAAAAGTCCAAGTTATGTAATTTCTTAATGGTTTTGATTGTCTATCTGCTCTGCTCTGTCATTTCTATTTTTCTCCTCACAGCCCCCTTCATTCTACCCACATCTGTAGGGCATTACCCGTAGTGTAACCAATACTCCAGCTGTGGCTGCCCTGCTGCCATAGAGACAGGACAGATCAGTGCTGCAACAGGAACCATCTGTATGTGTGACCCAAAATCACTCTGGAGTTTTTTTAACCACCATGCTGCTGTGCTTGTGCTCTCTGCTTTAGTTTGAACAGCTGGGCATGACTACTCTCAATTGTCTCCTGCATGCACCAGAAACAGAGGATTTCACCCCAAAACGCAGCCAGCAGACACATGCCAACACCTACTGCTTCCTCCCTGCCATGGGAGCTGTGCCCCAGTACTCTGAGGGATGCAGGGTGCACCAACGAACTGCCAGAGGAATCCATTCTTCAACTTCCTCCTTGCTGCTGACCTCCACCCTCAAACCCTCGCCTGCACCCTTCTTGCATGTTTGTCTTTCTGCAAGAAGCAAAGGTCCCGGGGACAGAGGCGGCTGTGAAAGTGCCGTGTGTGATCCTTGGCTGGCCGCACAATGCTCCCCTTTCACAGCCATTCACAGACCGCGCCTCACAGCAGCTCACACACTCTCCCGTGGATTTCAGATGTCAGATAAAGAGGAGCCTGAGACTTCGCTGCAGGGTCCCGTGGTGAGGGCATGCACAACTTCCTAGCAGACAGCTTGTCCCTATCCTTGGTCCCTGCCACAGGGCTGCAACACCTTCCTGGATTTCAAGGGTAAATCCCTACTCCTGCAGCTGGAGTCTGAGGTCACTCTGCCTGACATTTGTCTGGCAATTGAACCAGCATGTACATCTATAGTTGAAGTTTCGGTAGCAAAGTACAGCACCAACACGACATTACCAGCAGTAGAGCACACCATCCCCAGCAGTTCTCTTTCATCGGCTCAGTCCACACTCCACTCAAAACCATCACCAGGCTTGAGTAGCGGTACTTGGCTGGATGCAGCCTGTGCCCTCTCTTGCCCCTTGGCCAAGCATTCTTGTGGCAGATTCCCTCCTCACACATGTGCCCTGGAGTTCCTGCTGGAATGGAGTTTAGTGCATCCAACAGGAGCTGCCAGCATGACTCCTCCACAGATCAGACCCCGTTTTGGCATTAATCTGCAATACGGTGTATCCCCATCACTTTGCACCTCCTCTCCCAGTCTGACTGACACTGGAGATCAAATCTGCTGCTTTCTGTACTGCTGCGTATCGCCAGCGAGGACTGAGCTGCTCGAACTGTCCTGCTCAAAATCCTCCTATCACCACTTTTCTCAATCATTCATTTCACCTACTTTTAGCAGCAGCATTCTTTCAAAGAGTACTTTTTAAACACAGCTCTACTCCTGAATGACTTTTCCTCCAGAGAACAATTCCAAGATGGAAAACAGCTTCTTTTAACCATCCAATAGTCTTCCCTACTACCCTCTCTCCCTGTGGTTTCTTTTCCATTCTTGTCATCCCCATCAGGTCCCACCAGTTGGTTCCCA